TCCAAAACAGTGGACCAATCAGAAAACCCCGGAGGTGGGGCAAGCGTTGCAAGCTTTTGTTTAGAGAAGCAAGTTGGCATGGCAACGGTTTTATTCGACTGCGACTTGGTGGAGGAGGCATTTTTTAATGTCTCGTGTTTTTAGACACAAAGCCACGTTCTGTGTGAACAGCCCCTCAGTCTTAATTAAACAAGACAAACAGAATGAATATCAATGTAAACTGTCCATAAAATCATTCTTATATAAATTGTAAATCTTAATTAGAAATTTTGCTCCACCCCTTCTGAACCAACACCCTCACCGCGCAACATTGATCAGTAGTTGACATCTTTAGTTTAAGAGTCCTAACCAGGAACACCACAGGAAGTTGGTCAGCAGCGTGGCCAATCAGCTGAGTTATGACATCAGCCATAGGAAGTGAATGAGCGGCTCCGCCCACATAGGATGAACTGTATCCTGTAAGTGGTCTGGCGACATCTCTCCACAGGAAGCGGGTGAATGGATGACCAATGAGGATGTGAGCTGAAGCACATGAGGCAGGAAGTGTGGCGAGAGTGATATCCTTTCTGGGAAGTGTTGCAAAGCAACCAATCACAGCACGCACAATGACTCCACCCACAGGAAACACATTAGTCATGCAGCCTTCGGCTTGTTTTGGCTCCTCCCCGTCCTATATCACCTCTGATTGGTGAATGATGTTGTGGGCGGGGCCGTAGCGTGAGGATCCCTGCACAGTCATATCAGCGTCAGTTTACTGTTGTCTCTGAGATGCACACATGTCTCTGCTCCATCCATGAACGATAACATATAGAAAAATAAAATGTTTCTGAATGTGTCCATCTGTTTGTATTCTTGTCCTTTATGTTCTCCGCTGGCACTTTTCTTCATTCTCCTCTGGTTACTCTAGATTTCCTTTTCTCATGATGGTCCTTGCTTTCCTGAAGTGCTCAGTACAGTTTTTTTTTCTTCTGCTGTATTTACTGAAAAAGCAAAAGCAGATAAGAATTTATTCAATGAAGCTGGTTGGCTTCAGATGAAATCTACAGCAGCCCCCACATCTCTCATGTCAACCCATATAACTTGTACACTATATTATAAGTCTTATAAGTTGTATGATGCTTTACATGGGGAACAGACCCAAATTAAAGTTACTGACTGTAACAAATACATTAGATCA